CTCCCGGAGCTCGGGCGGGGGCTAGACGGGCCGCGGCAGCGCCGGCAACGAGGCCGAGCTGGGGCCGGGGCGCGGAAGGCGGCGGTGGCGGCGGCGGCGCCGGGTGGGGATGGGGTCGCAGACACTGCAGATCCTCCGGCAGGGGGTGTGGGCCGCGCTGAGCGGCGGCTGGTACTACGACCCGCACCAGGCCACCTTCGTGAACGCGCTGCACCTCTACCTGTGGCTCTTTTTGCTCGGCCTGCCCTTCACCCTCTACATGGTGAGTCGGGGCGGGGATTGACTCTGGGGGGTCGGGGCTCCGGCTCCGGGGTATCGGAGTCTCGCTCTGGGATACCGGCATCTGGTTCCGTGGTGTCCGGGGTTGGGCTCTGGGGTAGCGGAGATCTGGCTCCATGTTGGGGGGTCGGGCTCTGGGGTGACGGAGATCTGGCTCCAGGATACCAGAGATCTGGGATACCGCGGTGCCGGGGATCTCACTCCGGGTTATGAGATCTGGTTAAACGGTACTGGGGGTCCGGGCCCCAGGATTATGAGAGATTTGGTTCCACGGTCTCGAAGGTCGTGCTCTGGGGTACCGGAGAACCGGTTCTGGCCCTTGGGTCCTGGATATCTGGCTTCGAGAAAAGGTGCAAGAGATCTGGCTCTGGGATACTGAGGGTTCTCGCTTCAGAGTACCAGGTTTGTGCTCCAGAGACCAGGGTTCTTGGACCGTGGTTCGGCGGTGCTGGGGATCTGGCTTCTGGGTGCCGGGGGTCGTGTCTCGGGGAGATCTGGCTTCACGATACCAGGAGTCTGGCTCCGGAATATGGGGATCTGGTTCCGGAGCGTCGCGGGGGCCTGGCTCCTCGGTGATGGGGGTCTGACTCCAGGGTACTGGGGGTCTAACACCGGGGTGTCAGGGGTCTGGCTCCGAGGTGTCTAATGGCTTTGGGGTACGGGGGGTCTGGCTCCGGGGTGTCCGGGGTCTGAATCTCGGGGCCAGGGTTTGGGATTGGCGCCCTGTGCTCCTGGGACCACACCCGGGGTCTTGAGCCCGGCCTGAGGACCGCAGTCCTCGCGGCGGGGCGGACGCTCCCCTCTCCTGCTCCGCACTCGGGGCTCCGGGCTTCCCCGGATCCAGCCAGGACTCAGAGGCGCGTCAGCAGCAGCCGGCGCCTTCCTCCCTCCATCCCGGTCCCGCGTCCTCCACGCCTTCCTCCTTTCCTCCATCCCTGTCCTGCGTCCTCCGCGCCTCGCTCCCGCGGGTCCCATCCTGCCGGTCCCATCCCGCCTTCCCGCGCCTGCCTGCAGGAACGGCGCCCAAGGCCGCTCCCCCGGGGTCCTTGGCCCTCTCGGCCTCCACTGCCCACAGGGCTTGCGGCACCCCTCGGGCGGCCTTCGGGGCATCTCCGCCTGCCCCTCACCCCGGCGTGCGGAGCGGAGTGGGGAGCCTGTGCGTCTCCTGCGTCCCAGAGCTGAGTGGAGGCGAGGTCGTCCCAGTTCCGATTCGTTTCCCGAGCTGGTGGAAAACCCGCTGGCATCCGCCGAGCCCCACAGGTCGTGGTTCGCTTCCGCGCTGGTTCTTTTCGGTTCCGACTCTGGATGGAGGCAGAGGTGTTGCCTGCGTTGCGGGAAGAGAGCAGGGGAGACGGGAATCTGGGAATCTGGTTGGCGGTTCACCCATTTGTTTGGGTTGGTTCAAGGCCTTTCACTAGCAGGAAAAAGGAAAGTACAGCCTGTTGCTTCATGCACTGTGACCAGTTTCTCCCAAGTGTTTTTGTTTTTTTGTTTCCCTCAATAGCCAGGGCTGGCCTGAGACTCACTGCCTAGTCCAGGCTGGCCTTTTCCCCCAGCTTCAGGCGTTTTTGGGATTATAGTCCTGAGCCACTCTGTCTGGAGTGTTTTTAAAAAATATTTTTAGGTGTAAGCTTTTTTTTTTTTTTTTTTTTTTAAAGCATTGTAATTTAGGGTGGGGCATTTGGGAAAGTAATGTGAAAACACCAAAGCCTTAAAATTTTAAAGTAATTGAAAGAAAGGATAGTCACTTTTTATTTATTTTCAGAGAATTTCTGCTGTGTTTCTTCGAGGAGTTAGAATAGGGTACTGGGTTAGAAAATCCCAGAACACAAGCATTAAAAGTGCCAAAGGTTAGGACAGCCCATTTGCCCCAGTGTGCTTAGTATTACTAATGGGCAGGAAACATGCTTTGGGGGGATGGGGGGGGGGGGGGGGGGAGAGAGAGAGAGAGAGAGAGAGAGAGAGAGCGAGAGAGAGGTGTGCTCTTGCACATTCTTAAGGAAATTCTAATTTCTCATTGAAATTTTTTGAAGGGACTTACTGCTTTATCTTAAAGAAGCTATTTTTAAAAATGCTGATGGCTTATTTTATTAGACGACTTGTTCTGTCTTGTCACATTCTGAAAATTTATCACGAAGTGTTATAATTTCAATTAATTTTGGCCCAGGGAATTCTATTTGTACCACCATGCCTTCCAGGAATGTGACATCATTAATGAACAGGTTAATGGCTTTGGTTGTGAGAATTCAAGCTGTCACAGTGCTTCCAGAGCAGATTTCTCTTGAGTCAGGCGAGTTGTAGAATTAAAACTGAAAATGATTCTTGAGATGTCAAGATCTGTTGCTGTGTCCCAGGGTAAGGTTTCTGTTAGTGCTTGTGGTTAATTGTGATCAAGGCTTAAGCCTCTTTGTGTAATTAACAAACACTACTAAATGATTATTGGAGTAAATGGAAAACAGTGTATTAAGTTTACTGGCTTCATTTTGGGAATTTAGTCAGTTAAACTTAATTCTCAAATATTTGAGTGTCACCATGTACCAGCTTGTGGCTTCTAGAGAAATAAATTGTCTTCTCTGTCTTGTCAGGATTAATCCCAGCACTTGGGAGGCAGAGGCAGGCGGATCTCTGTGAGTTCAAGGCCAGCCTGGTCTACACAGTGAGTTCCAGGACAGCTGGAGCTACAGGGAGACCCTGTCTCAAAAAGAACCCCCCCCCCAAAAAAAAGGGGGAGAGTGATAGAGGGAGACACCTGATGACACCAACCTTTGTCCTCCATATACCATACATGCCATGGATGAATGCATACACTCACACATATACATGCACATGTGCGTACAACCCACATACACAGTATAGCCATAAAATTGGGTTATACCCTTCAATATACTAAATAAATGGGCTTAATGACACAATAGTACCTCCCTGTGATGTGGGAGGGAGAACATGGCTGATGCCCAGAGATGTTTTGTGGGAAAAAAATTGAAGAACATTGGAATCTTCTGTCCTAGATTGTAGTGAACCAGAAGAAAGTGAGAAAGCAAGGCACTACAACTCACAGATGTCAGCTAATGTACATTTTATATTTTATTATTTTTATTTTGTGTGCATGAGTGTACTGCTTGCATGAATGTAGGTGCACCTGTGTCGTGCAGTGCCCACAGAGGTCAGAAGTCAAATTCCCCTGGAGCTGGAGTTACTGGACTGTTGTCAGCCTCCATTGTGGGTGCTGGGAATCGAACCTGGGTCCTCTGCAAGAGCAGTCAGTGTTC